TACCAACCAGCCCCAAAGGCTGTGAATCTCACCAAAGATTAACCACATAATAATAACAACAACAACAAATAATTTGTATGCTGCACAACTCCCAGTGACTCTGAGTGGTTCACAATTTGTTGAAAACATTTTAAAACAAGTACAATGCAAGAACAGAAAATAAAGAAAAATGGTGGGTCAAACGAACCCAGAAAGGAACAAAGAAAAAGATGAAGAGGGTTATCAATAGTTCTTTTCAAAGACCTGGGCAAACAGTCAGGTCCTTTGTGCTATTTGAAATACTAGTAAAAGGTAAAGGTTCCCCTTGCACATATGTGCTAGTCATTCCCAACTCTAGGGGCTGGTGCTCATCTCCGTTTCAAAGCTGAAGAGCCAGGGCCATCCAAAGATCTCTCCGTGATCATGTGGCTGGCATGTGAGGACCCAGACTGTGGGGGCGATATGCTGACTCTGTAAACCGCTTAGAGAGGGCTGAAAGCCCTATGAAGCGGTATAAAAGTCTAACTGCTATTGCTATTGCTATTGCTTTTGGTATAATCTGTTATTGAATAAATGACAGTGGCTGGGTTTATACTTCATCATGTGCAACACAGCTATCGTGTTCAGTACTTCAAATTCTTTTCCTTTAAAAATGTTTACTGTTGCTCTTTCATGCAGAAGGCTATTTTAGTAGTGTTGATGAAGGCTTCCCTAATCTAAAAGATATTGAGGGTCATAAGATGCTGTATACAACTTGAAAAAACTTTCCATAATTATTTGAAAATACATTGTTTCTATAATTCTTTGAAAATTCATTGTGTTCTGCTGTAGGCTTTTTCTCTCAACAACAACACCCACCCCCCCAACAGATCAATAATTTAAAAATGGATGTAATATTTTCATGTTTTTCATTTTAGGAACCACGACACCTGCAGCTTTTCAGTGAATTCAGCTGCAGCGACATATATATGTCTCTGAGAGGCAAAAAGATATCTGGAGTGCCAGCCACTTTTGGTTTCTGCTTCAAGGTAAGAATTTAGCATTTTAATAAGACCTAAACATCTTTCAGCGAATTAGTTGGGGTTTTTTCCCTCCACATTCTAAGCCACTTTTTTGATGCAGGGAAGAAAAAATAATCTAAGAAAAGAAGAGATTTTGTTTGTGAAATAGGAGAATTAGTGGCTTTTATTTCAACAGGTATAGTCTTCAAGATATGCATTAATGCTAAACAATATGCTGTGGCCTTCTAGCCTTATAAAGCAGGAGGAACCAGAGACCTGAAATACCTTTATGCAGACAGTGAGCAAAGTAGGACCTGTTGGATGACAGCAATTCGGTTGCTGAAGGTAAATGTCTTCTCTTCTTCTGTGCCTTGTCTTCACCAATTGTTTCTATAGTTACCGTACACAATACATTTCACTCTTCTTTTTACGCCTCTGGGTAAAAGTGGTATTTTTAGCCTTTGGAAGCTCAGTCTTGCATGTGTATATTTCTCACCTGCACAATTATTTCAGTAAATAACGTTTGCTTAAAGCATAAAAACCAATTAGGAGGAGAACGTAGCACCACCAGGATGTAAGACAAAAGTATACAAACTCCTCATAGAAATTATGAAGCCAAAGCTCACTAAAAGTGATGGGAAAAAGAAGAAGCTCTTAGCTTAGGGTAGTCACTAAAATGGGTGTCAGGCGTGCTTCCCAGGGAGGGCATCATGTGAGGGAGAACCACAACTGAAAAAGCACTGCACGTAGCACAAACCCAATCCATCGATGACCAGGCTGCATGGACAGTGTAGGACTGTTGGTTCCACCACAAAACCGCGGTCGACTAAAGCGCGCTCGATGAAACCGCGTACCTGACGTCATCACAGC